ACAAATGTGCTCTAACCCAACCCCGTTGTCGTGTTTAGCAACACAAAAACAAGGAAAAAAAAAAAAAAAAAGTAAGAAACAGGGTTTTCCCCCCCGGGGCATCCCCGGCGGGCCCCCCCCCCCCGTCCCCACACTTCCTGGCCCCCCCCCCCCCCCCCCCCCCCCCCCACCCGACACCGCTTAACTTAAGGGGCGCTATTAAAATGGAGTTTCATGGGGTTCCATTGGCGAATAAACTTGGATGGGTTCGTTTCAGAAATACGAAGATGAGTTTGTCTACGGGCTGCTTTGGGTGCCTCTCAAAAATAGTATAACCCTCAACGGAGACTACAAATTACCTATTCTGTGATACTTTTTTACAGCAATACTTGGTTGGCATATATCTTCAATGACGGCCTCTGACGTGCAGTGACTATGAGTTTAAGAAACCTATCAATAGAAACACGCAATAAAATAAAAATTGCGTAAATGCAGGATAAAGAAAAAGTCAAGTCCACTATATTTGAAAAATTTCTAGAATGCACTGCGTCTAAACAGCATCTATTCGTGCTTTTCTCTCTATGTGAACTGTCCATCACTGTCGTTGCCGTGGCGATTGTGAGACCAATTGCGACTTGTAAGCAGATAAAGCGGAGATTACAAACTGTGCGTGGTTTCATTGAAGTCATCTGTGGGAATAAAACTCTTTCGGCGTATATGACATACACCAGTCCAACAACAAAGCTGGCTTGAAGACTTGAATGCAGGAAAACAATAGTTGAACAGGTGACAGCATGGGTCTTGTGATGACTAAAAAGACGAATTGCAAATACTACCGTGGAATTTTCTAAAGTGAAACCAAACCACTCCAACGAGGAAGGCAACACGATAAACACAACGAGGTTGTCATGAAGAGTTGAGATTCGCCTCAGACGTCTTGATTCTTTTGCAAAAATCATTGAGAGTAAAGCCATCGTGTAATAAACCAGCGCAGCAATAAAAATGAATCGATACCATACTATTGAGTGAATACATTCGGAACCAAAGTGATTCAGGCCTTTAATAGTCCCAACCGCGTTTGAAAAAGTGTTGTTCATCTCAGAGATAACTTGTTATATTGTTCACTAATTTTGAGTCTTCACGGTTGCAGTGGAAACCATTGGACCATCGATGAATTCAATTAAGCTACCCGCTGTTTCCTTGTCCCGCTGTTAATTTCAAAGTAATTCATTTCATTGTCCCATAACTTTACTTTTTTGCCCTAGTTAAAGACGATTAACCGGAAGATGAATAAGCACTTGCCTGCTATCTACAGTCCAATCCGAGGGTACTTATTCATGAAACAGTTTCTGTTGTCTTTTATAATTAATTAGTTGGTGAATTTCAGGCATCAAAAGATATATAGTGAACCAAGGCGATAAACTACCAGCCAATTGTCAAGCTGTGACAAGGATTTTTTTTTTTTTTTTTTTTTTTTTTTTCGTACCTTAATTTTTTTTTCCCCCCCAATTTTTTTAAAAAAAAGAGTCAATTTGACCTCTCCCACAATTACCAAAATTCATTTATTTTTGTTTATTTTTTTTTTAAAAATTTTCATCCATTTTTCATTTTGGAAAAATTGTTCTTCCATCCTTCCCTGCACGTCGCTTTTCCCTTTTTCTTTTTTTTTTTTTTTTTTTTTTTATCTTGTTGGTGAACTTCCAGACTAAAAACTTTTTTTGTTCACCAATGTTTTTTATTTCTTTTTTTTTTTTTATTTTTTACAAGGATTTTTTTTTTTTTTTTTTTTGCTGTTCAGTACTTTAATTGTCTTTCGCCACCATATTTATTAACATGAAGACGTCATTTGACGACTACTACAAGTACCAAAATTCATTTCATTTTGGTTAATTTTCTATTTAAAATTGTCAATCGTATTTCGATTTAGCAAAAAGTAGTCCTTATTTCCACAGGACAGTAACACAATATGGGATTCTGGTCCACTTTTGTCGTACTCAATAAGTCTGTTATTGAAATTGGAAGTAAGAAACACTGCCACAATCAGTAATCACGCTTCATGCCATATGTCGTCAAAGACGTACTTTCTAATTCATAAAACTGGCATAATTTGATTCACCGCATGGGCGCCTTTGAGAATCTTACAACGCTTTGTATGCTGAGTAAAATAACGTACTAGATTTTGATTTTAACAAATGATGAAAAACAATTTTAACAACAACCCAGAGATAACAGCTAATGTCAATCAACGCAACATGACACTTGATTCTCTAACTCAGTGGCCTGGGGTATGCCTGAGTATGACACACAGATAAAATCTGTGTTGACTTAATTTTGCCATGTATTGAGTGTAAAGCCTTTCTCTGTGATGGAGAATAGCTTGACCGGCTGCTGATAGCAAGTAAAATTTCCGTTAAAGATTCCGACTTTTCGATTCACTTGCGTTTTTCACCAAATCTGCAAACAGTCCACCTTTTCTAATTAGGACGTCAGGCTTCTCAAACTCCATAACGCGTCCACCATCAAGAACCAAAACCTTATCGTAATCCATAATTGTGTCGAGTCGATGGGCAATGGTTAGCACTGTGGAATCATTAAACTTGTGACGAATGACTTCCTGGATGAGATGATCAGTCTTGAAGTCCACATTAGCTGTGGCCTCATCCATTATAATGATCTTGCTTCTTTGCACCAATGCACGGGCAAGACACACCAACTGCCTCTCTCCGACACTGAAGTTCGATCCTGATTCTTTTAACTGGAAGTTCAGCTGCCCAGGAAGTTCCTCTACCATTCCTTTTAGCTGCACGTCTTCGAGGGCGTTCCAAAGCTCTGTGTCCGTGAATCTAGAGAATGGGTCAATGTTTCTTCTCAGGATGCCTCCAAACAGGACTGGATCTTGGGCGATAACAGCCATACATCGACGAGCTGATTGAAGGTCGATGCCCCCAATATCGACACCATCGACGAACACCTAATCAAGATAAAACCATTTTGATCATAACTTTTGAGGGCGCATAGTAGTATAGTAGGGGTGTTTTAAGCCTTTTTAATTGGGGGGAGGGGTAGGTATCTCATTATAGGAGCATGAATGCACTAACGCACATGAAGTCATGAAGAGGTATCTCATTGCGATTATGTATCTTTCTATTGCTGCGTTGTGCCTAGTAGAACCGATTTGACAAGTTTTTTTTATTTTTAGATCGATGCTGTTAAAAAGGCGACGCAAGCGAAGACTCAACTAAAAATCTGAGGAATTTAACGTCTTAACGCAAAAAACTAATTTGAAACGTAAAGCTACTCGAATTTACATTGATGAATCTTTTCCTTAAACACAAGACATCAATAAAGCTAATTGCTTGTTGCTGACAGTGGGGGTTATGTAATTGGTTTTAATAGTAATTGTCACAATTGCTGTGCTTAGACAAAGTAAAATTAATGGTTAGTCAATTAAATGCGATAATGTAACAGATGTCATTGTTTATTTTTACTTTTGTTGGTCATGCGTGCCCTTCTTTAGGTATGTATGGGTCATTGCTTTATTTAGCCATAATGATCCCATGATTAATTCAAGTTGCAGCGGGATCATTCTTGTGAAGGCAATACGCGCCAACGTCTCTGTCATTCAGTGAGACGCCTTGTTTATCGCGTTATCAGCGTTAATATTATCTTGTCCACTTTAATTTTAGCGCTCATTAATAACTAAGAAAGAAAAAAGGAAATCTATTTCATATTACCTTTTTAACCAAGAAAAAACAGCAAATTTTGATTTGGACTGTTCTGGATTTATCGATCCCTTTATGATTTATTATAATTTAAAAGGAAAAATCAAAGTCCATTTTAGAAAGACGTGGCTAGTTAAACTTTTCCCGTTGTCTGGAAACCCTTTGAAACACTCACCCTCGTGTTTACAATAGTTCATGACAGAAGTCTTAACACACTTAACTCAGAGCCGCAAGGCTTTTTGTCGCGCCAACTAAATCAAAGTGTCTTTGCAATTTTGAGACTGAAAATGTCTCTTTGCCTTGTTTTCCAAGCTTCTAATAATCACCTATTTAAAACCTATTAATAATCAAGTCAGTGTTGACATGAAGATATTGCACTACCTTTCCTTCTGGATCAGGCATGCGCAGTAATGATGCGACGAGTGATGATTTCCCAGCTCCTGTTCGACCAACGACTCCTATTTTTTCTTTGTCAGAAATAAACAAATTTATGTCCTTCAGAACTCGTGGCCCACTTTCGGTGTACCTGAAAGACAAGTCCTTGATGTCGATCGTCCCCTTTGTGGGCCATGAATCCGGTGGCTGGATCTCTGTATTATAACCGGCCTCTTCGTCCAAGTTACTGTACGTTATTACTCTTTCTACCGAAGTCATGAGATTTTCCACTTCAGAACTTATTCTGATGCTAAATGAGACTTCATCCACGGCTTCCAACAGAAACGTAAGAGACAACCCTGCAAGGGCTGAAGGGAAATAATATATATGGCTCTGATCAAATAAACTACGCCAACGAAGAAACTACTCTGGCTAAGTTCGTCTGCAGAACAGCGCCAGAGTCCTTGTTCTGAGCTCCAACATGTGTATAAGGTTTTGAGTACCCGCCAAGATTGGCCTGTTAAAAAAGCCGTTGTCGATTTGCTAATCAAGTTGAAAGGAAATTCTTATCGCTCCTCCGGTATTTCGTTGAGTCTGTTGGGGCCTAAGAACAAGGATCTCGGCGCTACTTCGCATACGTTATAAGTCTGTGACGCAGACCATGGTCGGACAGACGACTCTGGGAAGTTTTGCCATGATAATAGGGTTACTAGCCGGCGAATACAGCCGTCTCTACACTCCCTGGCGCTAAGAACGTTTCGCAAGAGAGTCGAAATCAGGCTCCGCCGCGAAACGCCCAAGCCACACGGAGAATTGAAAGGCAGCTAAGAAAAGAGAGAAAGATATGGCTATCAGCACTGCAATGCATGCTACAAAACAACTTTTTTCCTAGCCTAGAGTCCGTTTTTCAACGGAGACGATGTTGGCCTTTAAAAGGAAAAAGGGTCATTTTGGTCTCGGCATGGGCAGATTTAAGGGTTGGCCGAGGGGGCCGCCACCCTTTTTTTCCTTTGTATTCTATCTAGTTGAATAGAGCTATTAAGTGTCCCGGTTACCCCATTTCTGAATTTTCTGGATTCACCCATGGTGGGTGTTCCCAAGAAAACAAACCTGGGCTTTGGGCAACAAGGACAGCTCCAACACCTGCAGCAGCAACCATCAAGCTACATAGAAGGGTCATACGAAGAGCAAGCCACTGGGAACTGGTTATCACCATCATTAAGGCTGACGTGTTCTCATCCTGGTAACTAACAATAAAAATGAAAAAAGAAGGTCATAAATGATGTTTACAAACACCGACTTCTTTACAGCACCTTTCAAACCTGCAACAATAAAACTCGATAACTTTCAGGTAGGAATTGGGAAACGAAAACTGTTGCTTTGAACGGAAGCAAGTTCTGGTATTGATCAGAAAGTAACGATCCTAAATGCGACTCAAGATGATCCACTGGAAGCTCGGATAAATTCTAGAGAACCACCAAGTGTGATGATCAGTTTTCAGGGGCACCCAACGTCAATTTTCGGAAAATATCTGTTCGCGGAAGACGATTTGAGATCTAGGATTTTCGGAACATTTGTTGCAAAATTTCCTGCTTGCCTCCCTCTCCTAGGATTTTCGAACATCTTAAAAATGGTATAATTGGCTATTTTTAACGTATTTTTACCCTAAAAAGGTCACCTATAATTTTCGGATCACTAAACTTTCCGCTAGGAAATCCGAACAGATGAAGAATTTTTAGGAGATGAAAATCTGCCTATATCTACCGTTTAAACACTAAAATACGTTTAACAATGCTTTAATTAAATGGTTTTGAACTATATTCTCGTTGTGTGCCCCTAAGTTTTGGTAAGTACTGCAGGACTAGGAGGATTGGTATACGGTATGCAAAAGTCTGGTAAAACGCTTACTCAATTTCCTAATAATTAACAATTTTTTAATGAGGCTGAGTATCATCTGAAGAATTATATAGATCGAGGAGGGTGTTATCCAACGAGGCCTAGTTTAAAGACAAGGTTAAACATGCTTACCTCCATCGATGTTAAGTTCATCTTCGATAGCGCATGTTAATCGGCAAGTTTAGGAGATATAGGGTTGTTCGGCTCCGCAAATATTCTCCAAACAGCAGATGTACATGTCGTCCGTCGAGTTGTCTTCTTGCTGTTCTTGCTAGCAAATAGTTCGCCTATTTATTCCTCTCGTGAAACGAGTGAAATTTTCCGCCATTTTTTTTTACTCTCTGCCAAAACAACTCCACCTCGTCCGTTTTCTCAGTTAACGGTTCCATAATCTGGCAATTTGCTACACGATTGACCTCATTTTTCATATATCACAAAATTCTTCGAAATTTGGTCGACGAAAGCTGGTTGTGATAAATTCTCTGTTGCGTGGGATTTTAGCCAATCAGAAACGAAGAAATTTATTAAATGAATAATAATGGCGGATATGAAGTAGCTATGCTTCTGTTATGTTTGGGCATATTATCTACTCGTTGGGGTGTATCGACATACCACTTGCATGCCCTTAGCCGCCTCCAACCATTCAAACAAAGCTCTTTACAAAGTAAGCGTCTAGATTTCCTTCATAATGACCAACCAGGTTATCCAAGCCACGTAGGACTGACTGAAAACTGTATTAAACCGATAGAGCGCAAGCAGGACCGTACGTCAAGTAGCATAAAGTCAGTTACTTAAGTTGACGAGTGGGTGTGAAAGAGGGCTGCGTAAGTTCTAGATTTGTTGGTATTATTTCAGAAGGAGTTGTTTGCCAAATTGGGTGCTTTTGTGACTATAAAGGTCCCTGTAACTGGAACCAATCTCTTTAAAATGATCTTTGCGCTTGTGGTAGGATGACTTATAAAACAAGAATTTAGTTGAACGGCCTGTACATGAATAATTATTATCACTGCATTATACTACGCACTTGAATAGTTTCCTTAGGAAATCCTGCTCCTTTTGTGCCGAACGAATTATCTCTAATCCTGCAACTGTCTCAGAAATGTGCGAGTACACAGGACTGCACGTGATAGCCTCCAACCGCTTGATTTCCCTGGATGACTTCAAATAGTAACGTCCATAATAAAAGGCGACTAAAACAAGAGGAACTGCAATGAAAATAAGCCAAATATTTGCTACTACTGGCAGCAGTATAGTGCTCGTTGCAAATAAAACAGTTTCCACAGCCGTCAGGAATTGAGGAGTAAGGACATCATCCATACTGCCGATGTCTTTGGAAAATCGATTTAAAGTGCGTCCTACAGGAGTTTTGTCAAAGTAAATCAGTGGTGCCTTTACGACTGAGACCACCATCTTGTTGTGTAGTCTCTCCGAAGCTTTAAGGAGCGTCCAATAAAAAAGATACGAGCAAATAAAGTTGGCCACAAGGGATGAGCTGATCAAGGCTCCATAAATTTTCAGTGTCCTTGATGATCTCTGTTGCTCTTGGGTCATTTCTGCGACCTGTGATGCCCACCAGTGAGACATCATCAATAACACTTTAAAAAAAGAACAAAAAACCGACTTAACAAAATGAACCAGAGTTGTTGTCCCTATCAAATTAGGCCAATCTAGGAGGCTATCTTCCTGAACCTGGTTATATATTTCAAGTAAAGCTTCTACAAGAACGTAAACGATGGAACAAAGAGCACTAGGACATTGTCCCTCCCAAGTAACAAAACTTAGCGTGCCAAATTTATTAAAAGATTTTTACTTTAGTTTAAATGATCCCACTGTTTTAACTCTTGACCATGATTTAAATTCAACTTTTTCTTCTCACCATGTCGCCGCGCCGCGCTCTTCCCAACTACGCCTAAAATTCCGACGTTCCTTGGCAGTAGGTGAACCATGTCTATAACACCATATTTTTAAGGAAAAAAAAGCCAAGATATTATTCTTGGAAAAATCCTGTAAATATAGTTTATAGTTACCTTTCACTCCAAGAATAAACAGGAAAAGGCAGAGTATTACAGGAGCAGAATACGCTGTCCTGAAGTACTTCCAGTAGAGCTTCCAAGTTATGGAACCAGTGTTTCTGTCTTCCTCATCTTCCTTCAAATCTTGATTTCCCTCAGTAGTGAGTAAGTTCTCTAATGACCGTTCCGAATTATCTCCCTCTAAATTTCCAGGTATATTGGCATCGCACCGTCTAGAATTGCAGGTATTGGAGCCTTCCTTTAAAAAGCTAGTTTTTCCTTTCACCAGGACACCATTACTTAGCACAATGACGTTATTTAGTTCTGTTAAATAGTGCAATTGGTGAGTAACGAAAACACGGGTTTTACCGGACAAAAATCCACAAATACACCTTTCAAACAGACTTTTTCCGACTTTGGCGTCCACTGCGCTAAGAGGATCGTCCAATAGATAAAGATCAGCGTCTGAATACAGTGCACGTGCTAAACTGACACGGACCCGTTGACCACCACTTAGGCTTACACCACGGCTCCCTATTTCTGTTAAGTCACCAAAAGAGAAGTGTTTCAAATCGGTTTGCATACAACAAATGTCAAGTATTTCATGATATCTAGCTTCATCAAAACGTCTTCCGAACAAAACATTATCTCTTATAGTTCCTGAGAAAACCCAAGGGATTTGTGGTACATAAGCAACTGCTCCATCAAACAATATTGTTCCATTAATGGCAGGAAGCTCTCCAAGTATGGCCATTAAAAGAGATGATTTTCCACTTCCAACCGATCCAGTCACAGCCATCATTTGCCCATTCTTCAAAGAAAAGGAAACATCCTTTAAAGCCATCCTCTGCTCATGTCTGTCCCAAGATGCCGAAACGTTCAGAAGGATAAGATCATTGGTCTCAGTACCTAGAATCCCCCCTTTGTTTGATAAGGAAATCAACTTTGCTTTTTCAACCTTGATGTTCTCTTGCCTCACAGTTGATGCTATATCCTTCAGACTCAGACTAAGGAAGCCACATGGACCACGCCTAGAAGCAAACGTGATACGTCTCTCACTGTTTGTCGGTGTTAACAAGAATTTCTCAATCCGAGTGATTGCAGTATTTGCTTCAGCCATCAAAGGCAAAAAGTATCCCATAGCAAGAGAGACGGAGAAATTGATAACGTTTAAGGTTGAAATAATGGTAAACATGTTAAAAGCAGTGATTTGTTCCCCTGCTTCTATCAGTGTGACAACAGAGATGAACCCAGCGAGAGGTGCAATTGTGTAAGCCATCGACAACAGGCTGGATATAACAAGTCCTCTTATTCTAATGTACCACATTTCCTTCCTGTTTGGAAGACAAATGAAAGCATTATGGTCAGTTATTAAAAGAAAAACATTTAGAACGCCTTTGTACTTTTATTTTCCAAGCTTTTATTTATAGTAACAGCATGTTTCAAAAGTATGACGATCATTTTATTTACTGACGTAAGTTTAATTTGTGATACGTTATTGAAAGAGAAGATAGAGACAGGTTATATGGAAGGAGAGGAGAATACTTGGTGAGGAATTCGACTAATTGGGGAGGCGAGTGAAAATAGGAACGGTTTCTGGAGGAAAATTACTGCATTAGTGACAGAGTTGTGGTGATTCACATCGCCCAGATAATATTTAATCCAGTTCAATTTACCTTCTTAGTTGTTTAATTATTTCTGTAAAACTCCATTCCCAAGCGTACATTTTGACAGCTCGAATACCGGATATGATCTCGTTCATCACCTCCAATCTTTTATCCGTAGCTACAGCAGTTTTGTGGCGTAACTTGCCGTTCTTGTGTGACATTGTGAAAATATAAATGAGTAAAAGTATGTAAGCACACATGCCTACTAAAGCTCTCCACCCAATTAGGACCAAAAGAACAACAACTGAACCCAAAATATAGAATGGAGCAGGAAGGGTATAGTGTAGCCCAAATACGAGTTTCTCCAGTTTCTGAGCGTCGTTTGTTACGAGGTTGATTGTCTTGCCAGTGATTATCTTCTGAACATCACTTCGTTTAAGTTCTTTCAGGATCTGCGTTTATAAAAAGAACAGGCGCATTAATCGGCCAAATTTTTGTTAGTGAAAGTTAAGGGCCATCTCACTTTATTTATTTTCAAAAAGCTAAAACCTTTTTTCGCATCAATTCAATTTGTAAAATAATGGCCCGTATTTGTTTTTTAAGACTATATGTAGGCATTAAAACTGTTTTCTGTCATCTGTTGCAATAGGTGGCAAGGATGGGGATGGATTACAACATGAAAAAGTTTTGCCACCTTTTTCAAGTTTTAATGCTATGCCTCCAAAACTCACCAAAAAATTAATGTGATTAGTGCTTGCCGATGAAATTTCTATGATTTGTTCTTCATAACTCTACACTGAAGAGTATTTTGTGAATGGGTAAAGGCACCAAGAAATGAATTCAGCACAAAAAAATTGTCCTAAAACAGCTGAATATCCTCGTGATATAGCCCCTTTAATTTATTAAATATGCAAGTGCTACGAACGTCCTCAAATGAACTCCCACCACTAGCAGTGGCAGTGTTACACTATTTACTGGGTACTAATTGAATACACTGGGTAGTAATTGGTTTGATCCAAATTCTCTGACTCAAGATCAGAAAGACACATGTATTACCCTCACAATTTAAACACTGTCAACTGAAATACATGAAAGAAAAACTCTATCTTGTAATCTTTGGGTGTATTCCATTGGAATGATCCAAATCAGGACTTATGAAGCAAGATCGCCCCGATCATGGTGAATCAAAGGAATTGCAAGGAATCGTCGGTAACTTGGATGAACCAGGATAGGGGTAATAATGCGGATTGTAAATCGTGCTCCGGATCAGTCTGAATGGCACGCCAGGCGTTTGTAGAGGAGAGGACCTGGGAAAATGAAGTGCGCAGAGAGAACCGGACGCCTGTCTCATTCTCGCTTGTCTCAAATCCCCCTTTACTTTGCCAATCAAACGCCAAAAAGTTCGTTCCTTTGGGATGACACGGATCTGCCTGCGTGGCAAAGAAAAGAAAAGGGGGAATAAGGAAAGCGAGAACGGGATGGGTGCACTTCCTCGCGATCTTGTTCACTTTATTTTCGCTTTCCTCTCCTCTAAAATGCCTGCCGTCTAGAAACGTCTGCCGTGTAGTCTGATTCGGCTCGGCAAGATTTATGATCCAGAATCACTCGGATCATGTTAGATCAAAGGTACTGGCGAGTCCCTGACCAGAAGAACTTTAACTGTTATTTTGATACAACATGACCAGAGAGATATCTTCACCCCAAATTAAGGAAGGCACCCTTTTTTGAAACGATATAAAGGGAGAACTATCACCTTTTCGTAGATAAGGCCAATGCAGGACACTTTAAGTCGATTGCTCCAAATCTCTGCCATCGAAGCTGAGTGATTCTTGGAGAATCCTTTAAAAAGAGCTAAAATAATTATTCCAGTAACGAACACATATGAAGACATTGAAGCGTCACCTTGTGATTCCCTCACAAACTCCGACAGAAAAAACCACATTAGCGTCGGCAGTAAAATTGTACACAAGAAACGACACAGAACTAAAACAAACATCAAGGTGTATGCCTTCCACGAAAACATTCGAGTAAATGCTCTCCACAAACGAGGTTTACGATCACTTGGTAGGCAACTGTTAATTTCATGTTGCCACTCGCTCTTCAGTTTGCCAGCAAGATACTCCATACTATCTTCTGTACGAACAGGGAAAATGTCTTCTTTTACCAGAGGTCTTTTGCTGCCAAGCCGCAGTATGGAGTTCATCCAACCCAGAGTTGCACGGGTGAGCCAGTTTGCTGTTTCGTAAGGATGAGAAGAGGCTACTTTCTTGTTGCATGATGGATCTTTCTTCTGCCTGTTGTGTTCCATTTTGTCTCTAAAAAGAAACTGCGAAGAGAAAAACAGGTGTCGAGGGAATTTCATTATTCTAGATTTGTACTAATTTGTTTGCAATAGTCATGACAAAAATGAAAACAGTAAAATGATGAAGATTCCAGGAAAACCAGAGAGAGACATCACACATTGAAGAACACAGTCAACCATAAGGCTGAAAAATCGTCTGTTTTAATTTTGAGTGAAAAAATTATATATTGCATCTACACAACAGCGAGTATATAAAACTGGTCGAGTGCATCGATATCTTTACGGATGTTCGTATAAATGAATCTCTAAAGATGTGCTCGGACACCAGGCCCGGGTTGCTCGAAGCATGGTTAGTGCTAACCAGCGTTAAATACCATGGAAACCTATACATTTTGATACCTCTTAACCAACGGTTAGCGCTAACCAGGCTTCGAGCAACCGGCCCCAGGGTGATACCACGATTTTGGCTGAGGATTCCGAAAAAAAGCTATCTATCATGGTTTGGAGGCAGCGTGGCAGAGTGGTGAACGCATCGGACTGGTCATACGGCTGTTCGAGTTCAAGATCTGCTTTGACTACAAGCGGGATTTGTTCTTGGTCATCCTGAGTTCAATTTCTCGTTCATGCTCTTGTAAATGACCAACTGGTTGCATCCTGCCAGTTGGGACTATCGACCCTGTTAGGTCACATTTGAATTATTCGTTATGAATCATTTGCATGAGTGGAGTGCCGTGTAAGGGAATGGATTCCGGATTCCGGATTCCATACCCCAAGATTCATGATTCCTTTTTTGTGGGGCGAAACGGAATCCTTTTTCTTCTTTTACCAGCGGGGAGGGGGGAGGTGGGGGGTTAGCAATTTCTGGTGTTATTTGCAAGCAGTTCTGGTTTGATTAATGCATAAGCACGTTCATGAGTTGGGCACTGAGAAAAGTTTCCACGTCGTTTTTCCACGTGAGACTGTGGATTAATAGGATTTGATATCATCTTAATTTCAGTTGAAATTATTACTGAAACCAGAGGCTGTAGTTTTATCAGAGGTACCGACTACAACGCCTAAATGAGTAGAGATTTTATGTATTAGCATATGTCTTTTTAGTGGTCAAGCGTTTAAAATTTACATTGATACAGATGGCTGCATAATGTATATGAATAAATAAATTTCGTAAAAAAAAAGACGCCACTGAAAGTATACATGAAATTATAGAATGCGAGCAGTCTCTTATTTTTCTTTGCAAAGTTACTGCACGCGAAACCCAAGCACGCGAGCCGCAATAAACGAGAGCGTAACGTAAGGTCATAGTTTGCAATCGCGCTGGCTGAGATAGGAACTAAAGGGATTTTAAGAGAAAAGGCAGACTGCAAGCAGTCTAGGACTGCAAGGCAAATGTACAGACCCTTAATGTCGGCGAAATACAACCTCAACCCGTAAAGAATAAAAGATTGGGTATTCCCTGAGAAAGTAACTGTAGTTTAGTTTAGTTTGTCTTAAGCAATCATGCCTGCGCAAATTGCATTAACGTTTTTCCTCTTTCCAACAGCGTGCGATTAAACTGACTGAGTTCATTTAGCCTAAGGCATCCGCTAAGATCGACATGACGACAAATAATACCACTGAATCGCGAAGCCAACATCAATTGCCGGACAGCGGATAAGCTCTCGTTATCACCTAAATGTTACTCTGTTACCAGACTTATTAAAAAAAATTCCTCTAAATGAAGCCCAAACGACTGATTCATATGGAAACAACATTGGAAAAGAGTTCCTTTAAAGTGAGCTTGTAGCCATCCTTTTCCTTACCGAATCTTTGACTAACATTGAAACACATAATTTTTTAAGTCACTGGTGTCTGGTTATTTTTGCTCTTGTATGAATAGTATAGATCTATCATTGGGACAAGCTCAGCACGTATACATACCTTTTCTCAGAGGGCACCTCTAATTTTCAATAAAACACGAGGAAAATAAATCTTACCAGCCATAAGTGTTCATACCGTTAAGTAAGGAGAAAGGAGTATTTAAATCAGTCATGCTTGGGCTGACAGACGTCGTCGACTGGACCTAACAAGTTTATGAATGCCATTTGCTTTTCCCTATGCCACTTCCTGTTGTATGTATTTTTAGGTCAGTTTCTGACCTCCCGAAGAGATCTGGCGATTTTATGGGCGGGGGGCACTCGCAAAATTCAGGCTAGTTAACGGACCATTAGAAAACTTATGGGGGGCGGGCGAAGTACAAAAAAATATTCGCGCAAGTAAAAATTAAATGAAAAAAAATTAATGCACGCCAATTAGCCCTAAAAAATATTCATACTATGGCCTAAAAAAAATTCATACAAGGAATTTGATAACAAAAAAATTCCTGCGGATCGAAAATCCCCCCCCCCCCCCCCCCCCCACCCTCTCTCAATATCTGTACCTAAGTATGAAAAAAACAAAAAAAAATATCAAAGACGAGCGAAACCAAAAAATATAAAGGAAAGATCTCTTTTGTTTTATCCAGTTGTAAAACAACAACAACCGCACAGGAGGTAGAAGCGGCAGATCAATCCCAACCAAAATGTTATTCAATAACAAAAAAATACCTGAGGATCGAAAATCCCCCCCCCCTCCCCCGCCATAACTTTTCTAATGGTCTGTACCTAAGTATGAAAAGAACGAAAAATATTGACAGTTCCGTGTGAACCAAATCAATATCGAGTGAAGTTCTCTATCGTGTGAACCAGTTTGAAAGCACCCTTCCGAGAGCGGTAGGTAGACACGTCATGTCAATCCAACATATAGTGTCCTAGTATCCTTTGTATCCTATTCAAGGTCACTCAAGGTGACCCCATACCGATCACGTTGATGAGGTTGTTTGGACCTTCATTATCGAGAATGGAGTGGAATTTTCTGTCTGGTGTCGGCGCTGTTTTCCTTGGATACTATTCTCTAACGTTTGTTCTGCAAGTCCTTCATGGAATCAGAGCATTTGTTCTTCCAACTCTTGGCATAAAAAAGAATTTGAAGAAGTTAGGACAGTGGGCAGGTAAGGCCGGTTACATGCGCCTCGCATGTGCAAAGATCGAGTTGTTTCTAAAGTCTGTATCGTCTTTCTTTCCTTCCCAATTTCAAGTAGTTTTGGTAATTTTTAAACGTTCATTTAAGTTCCCAGATGCAAGAAGCTCTTAAATTATGTGTATTTTTTTTTGTGTGTACACTTTCTGCAAGCATGCCGAGGAGCTGACCTCATTGCTCAACAAACAGTGTATCAGAATTTTGTACAACTGCGTGCCGCGTGACCAACTTCAGCTCATTAGACGTCGGTTACATTGTTCACTCCATTATTAAATACTAAATTGAATGTACGTTGCTGTCTTTGTTTTGTGATTGTCGTAGTAGACATAGTGGCAAGCTCCCCTTCCCTTTCCTGCCCTGCTGCCAGAGCGCCCTGCAGAGCTTGCTCGCAGGCTAAAAAGATCCTTTGATCACCCCAGTCACTTGACATCTGGAGTACAATCCCCCCCCCCGGGATTTACCCCAGCTGTAGCTGAAGGGTCACCCAAATCAAATTATCTCACAAAAATTTGTGAGATTTAAGATTCAAAATCTTAATCGAACATTTTTTTAATGAACGTATCTGACTGGACAAATTATTTAGCTATCTGCAAGCATGTCCAAGACTTTGATATTTAGACAACTATTAAAACAAATCCAAACAACACAAAGTTCATTTTTCAAACTCTTAGTACTTCCTCAGTAGACTTTTGAAAAAGTGTAGTTAAGCCCATCAGCAATACATGTAGATAGTTGTGGGGAAGGTACCTGGTGAAACCAAAGGGAGCTGCAATGGAGCCTAAAATGTAACCATGAAAACCCTGTGAGATGCACCCACCAGGCGCTGTCCCACTGAGAATCTCAGAGGAGAATTGCACATATACTTACCAAAAAATGTCCAGAAAGAAGGGAGGGTTGGGAGCAAAAACAGCTACAGCTACTGCACGCAAAGGCAGTGTGAGCAAAATGATTGGCTTGTGAAAGTGCTGTAAAATAACTACAGCCCTGCTAAAACCCAAGACCAAGACTGCCCCACATATGATTATTGGTGGAGACCGCTGGCCAAGATTGTCTCTAACATTGTCTCTAACACAGGACTGGGACCCAGGTCCCAACCTGCTGACCCCTCATCCACACTGTCTGCCTAAAATGTGCGTCCTTCAACAGGGATGGCTGTAGCCCCCCCACCCCCTTCCGACTATTTTTCAAAAATGGAGACTTATATAGAGAGTATCCTCAGCCTCCCCACTTCCAAACAGTAGTCAGCCTCATCCCCCTCCTACCATTTTGAAAAGTGTTGCATTGTACCTGTTCAGCATTATTGATTCATGAGTGACATTAGAAAAAAAAAGACAAAAATACTCTTGCAGAGAGCTGAGATAATCTTACTGTGAAAATCAGAAAGCCGTGGTCACAAGAAATATTTCTGGAATGTTATTTTGTTGTACTAAAGGACAAAGCCAATTAGGCTTGGGAGACCAACCCTCCAAGTTGCGACCTCTCTTTTGAGCAAGGGTGGCATAGGGGAGCAAGGGTTGGGCAGTGGTGAGAGCACTTGCCTTCTACCAATGTGGCCTGGATTCAAATCCTGGTGTCAACACCATATATGGGTTGAGTTTGCTGTTGGTTCTCACCTTTGCTCCAAAAGGTTTTTCTCTAGGTACTCCAGTTTTCCCCTCTCCTCAACACCCAACATTCCTGAATTCCAGTTCAACCAGTAATCAGGGAGATAAAGAACCGCTACAAGGATGTGCTGCCTCTAAATCATTATTTATTTTATTTATTGTTTATTTATTTTCTTGTTCCCCTTGTCAACATTGGTACATTAAACTAATACTGTTGGGAATAATATCACATGCTGTGATTTTCTAATAATTTTGGACATTATTTGTATTTTGCTTTAGTTATTACAGGGTGTACAGATGGAATAGGAAAAGCTTATACTCAAGAGGTGATTTTAGAATTGAATAATA